CTATGAGCTTTCGCTTTCGGCGCCAGAAGCGCCCTCTTGAAAGACAAGCGCAAATACTGGCCTGACATGTTGGCGGGGGGCTCGTTTTGAAAAGGAACTGCCTTGCATCCTTCTGGCGCGTAATCAAGCATGCGCAATGTAAACACTATCTCGTTTCAAAAAAACGGACCGCCTCCACTACAAGTCTGATCATGAGTGCCGGGGGAACCTCAAGAGAAAACTTAAGTTTTAACTTGCACCACCCTCGATCCGTGAAGTGGTCCATGCTGGGAAGCATCGGGTCTTCAATTCATGTGTTCCGTAGCCATTTTGGCTTTTGGCCTTGCTGGCCCCCATAGCGGCGCGCGCGCGGGGGCGGCACCATGGCGCGGGAGCCCTCTCGAAGGGCCGCCGCGGCTCGTGGTGCTGCGGACCGGTTGGTGAAGCGCCTCGTGAAGGAGATCGAGGCGCTCGAGGAGCAGGCGGCGGCGGCTGAGCAGGCCATTGACGCCGTTGTCGGAGATGATGAGGTTGCTGCGCGGGCACGTGCGATGCTGCCCGCGCTCATGGACCTCGTGGCTGGCCGCCCACCACGGTGGATCGATCGGATCCGCCGTAACGTGGCCTTGCACGCCGAGGCCCAGGGCATCGACATCCTAAGGGCGAGCGGCCGTGGGCTACGAGGTGCTCAAGGTGGAGTTCGGTTGGAGGCGCGGCAGTTCGAGAAGAAGGCTTCGGACATCCAGATGCGTGCCGAGGCACCGCCCTTCGTCCCGAGCGGCGGGGCCTGGGGCCCCCCTCGGACGCCGCTGCGCGTGCGGGGCTATCGTTCACTCCTCCTACGACGGGCCGCCGCCAAACCGCTGCTTCCAGGAGGCGGCGGCCTGCGACAGGGGCCTCAGGGTGCAGGGGCCGATGCTCGTGCCTCAGGGTCCCTTTGCTGGGCGTCGCCCTGCCGCCGCTGAGGGCGCCGTGGGCGGTGTGGTCCTGGAGGCCGCCACGCTGCCCTTCCACCGGAGGCCGTCCCTCCTGGGGAGTCGGGAGCCACAGGCCCTGGAGGTCTTGGATGAGGTGCACCGTCAGGCCGTGCCCCCCTCTCTTGCAAGTCGCAGCGCCGTGGCTCGGCCGTCTGTGCGCCGCAGGGCCCACATCCAGGAGGTGGAGGAGTTATTTAGGTGAGGCAGTGGGAGTGCCTCGGAGGGCCTGGACAGAGCGGGGTGCAGGTTTTTGTGAGGCGCCGCCACGAGCTTTCTGAATGTGCAGGTGAGCCTCGCCGTGCTGACGAGCAATTGCATTGTAAGTCTAAACAGCACGGCTCTGCATCCCACCGCCTTCCGTTTAGGTTTCCTCCGAACAGCTTCCGCTCTCCCGATTTCCAAACCGATGGAGATCCTCGGAGGGAGTATCGTCGGAAGCGGTAGAAGCGGTAGATGCCTTAGACGGGGGTGCGGTGGAGAGATTGAGAGAGGCTGGAGGATTTGATGTTGCATAGCTGTGCCGCCTTGTTTGTTGCACAGTGCCGCTGTGCTTTGTTGTATTTCGGGCCCTCGGCGTTTCGGTGCCCCTTTCTTCGGTCGTGTCCCTCCGCTCGTTTGTCTGTGGTTTCTGGGGCCCGTCCTTCGTTCTTCGCCCTTTCGGGCCCTCGCCGTTCGTCGGCTTTGCAGGGAGCTGAAGCTAGTCGCCAGGCCGCGTCCAAATCAAATTGTTAATTCATGTTAAGGGGTCTCAGCGAAGAAACCCACTTTGAAAAATAACCGTCCTCCATCCTTCAAAACGTTGCAAGCTTTTGGAGCGATTGTGGACGGTGCTGGGCGAGAGCCCCATCTTGAAAACCGGTCCCTCCATCCCTGCAGCTGCTGCATTTTTGTGACAGTGACAGTGCGCGGCGCTAGGGCCATCGCCATGTTTCTCCCCCCTCCGTCCTAGAAGCTGGTCCAAATTTTCAGACTGAGAGCCATACATGGCCAGGAAGTCTCAGGCGACACCCCGCCCTACCGACACGTCTGGGGCACGACAGGGAGGAGGAGGAGTTACTTTTAAGAAAAAAGGGTGGAGGAGTAGGAGTGGGAGGAGGAGGGGACAGGAGAAGAGGAGAAGAAACAAGCTCGTTCCTTAGTGGTCGATCCTGGAGGTCCAATCAATGGGGGATCAATGACACGCCGCCGTGGAGAACCAATCAGCGTGTCACTATTGAAATCAACGCCATGCCTGCGGACAAAATGGAAAGAATTACACACTGACAAGCTCCCACTTCAGCGTGCCAGTGTACAAACACACACCGGCATCATAAATATAAACTTTTGGAGCTCTGGGCGGATTTCTTGGATCGACGCTGGACCCACCTACTATGCGCGCGGAGCGCTCTAGGGACGGCGCCGGAAGCGCTGTCAGGGGGTCCAGCGACGTTCCAAGAACTCCACGCGAAGCTCCGACAGTTTATGTTTGTGTTATGGTTCTTCTTCGATTCCCCCTCCTTGGTTATGGGGCGAACGACGAGGGATGCGACGAGGACAGGACGAGACGGATGAGGAGATGGAGGAGGAGGAGGAGGAGGAGGAGGAGGAGGAGGAGGAGGAGGAGGAGGAGGAGGAGGAGGAGGGGGAGGAGGAGGAGGAGGAGGAGGAGGAGGAGCAGGAGGAGGAGGGGCGGGAGGCAAAGAGGAGGGGGAGAGAGAAGCTCGATCCTCGAAACCTGGTCCTGGAGATCCAATCAATGGGGGAAAAACAACAATCGGGTGTTGCTAGAAGTACCCCTGACCCAAAGTTCCCCCCAGCGTCTCGCTCCCTTTTGGGACCCCCCTGGGGGCCCTCTGGGCCCTGCGAGGGGTGCCCTGGCGGCCGTCCGGGCCCACCCCGAGAATCCTGGGGGTACCTTGGGCCGAAGGAGGAGGAGAAGGAGGAGGGGCCAGGTCTACTCTAGCCTCCTCCTCCTCCTCCTCCTCCTCCTCCTGGGGTCTGGGCCTCCTCCTCATCATCCTCTCCTCCTCCTCCTCCTCCTCCTCCTCCGCCTCCTCCTCATCCGAGAATCCCCGTCTGGGCCAGGTCTACTTCTAGCAACACCCGAAACAACAATATGAACGACGCGCCACCAGAATCCATCGGCATGATGCTGCTGCTGAAACCCACGCCGTGCTCGCGGCAACAAAAAACAACGGAGGAGCAGCGCTTGCCGACGCACTCCCAGCGCCAGCGTGTGTCATCGATACCCTTGTCGAGCAGCGACTCGGGGGGACTGGCTCATGGGGGGGAGAGCATCGACCTGGAATCGGCGATGCGTCGCCGATAAAACGGCGCTGCAACCCTCCATGGAATCAAGCGCAAGGCTTTCCAAACCCCCTCGCTCTCCCAATGTCCATGTTCGGCGACGCGCGCAACGCGGCCCGCGGCGCCCGAAGAAAAACAAGAGTCGCCAGTTTCGGCGCGATCGCTGAAATTGGGTAACCGGGGGCGCCGCCAGGTGGCGGAAAAGAACTTGCGCTTGCTTTCGTGGAGGGATGTAGGCCCCGATGGCGAGCCCGCACGATCTTGGGCGGAGTGGGCTATCGGGCCCCTGTCGGCGATCAGTGGGCGATTGGAGATTGATGCGTCCCCCCCTGACGTTGCCCCTGACTTTTTTGTGCGTTGGCGGGCCTGGGTTTAGTGGGACCCAGTTCAATGATGAATACGGTGAGACGCCCCCCCGCCCTGTTCAACTCAGCGGAACTGCAATCGCCCGAAGAAGCACCAGCTACGGCAGACTTGGTTTGGCGATTCTGGTTACTATTCTGGGCTTCGGGTCCCCATCACTGACGGGCTCCCCTCACCTTTTTTGGGAAGGGCCAAACGTACCCCCAGGACGACGTACAGTCGGGGCGCTGACCTAAGGAACCCTAAATAAGGAACGAGGCCCCTTTTTTCAATAAGCTAACCTTCGATTCCCGATCGAAAGCATAAGGAAAACCTGAGGCAAGCTGCGAAACACTTAAGGAACGCGGAGCCCCTCCCCAACGAAAAGGGTTCCTCCTTCAGGGCCCCGACTGTATAGGCTTCGGGTCCCAATCACTAACGGGCTCCCCTCAACTTTTTTGGGAAGGGCCAAACGTACCCCCAGGACGACGTACAGTCGGGGGGTTGACCTAAGGAGCCCTAAATAAGGAACGAGGTCCCTAATTTCCATAAGTTAACCTTCGATTTAAAATCGAATACATAAGGAAAACCTGAGGCAAGCTGCGAAACACTTAAGGAACGCGGAGCCCCTCCCCAACGAAAAGGCTTCCTTCTTCAGGGCCCCGACTGTATGGGCTTCGGGTCCCAATCACTAACGGGCTCCCCTCAACTTTTTTTGGGAAGGGCCAAACGTACCCCCAGGACGACGTACCCCCTCCTCTTTGCCTCCCGCCCCTCCTCCTCCTCCTCCTCCTCCTCCTCCTCCTCCGCCTCCTTCTCATCCGAGAATCCCCGTCTGGGCCAGGTCTACTTCTAGCAACACCCGAAACAACAATATGAACGACACGCCACCGGAATCCCCGAAGGGCCAGACGTACCCCCAGGACGACTGTACCCCCCGAGAGGCGTCGCAGCGGCCACGGCTCCAGCCACGGTGGGCGCCCCACCGCAGCAGCCTGAGCGTTCCGAGGTGGGCCTTTGCGGCCTCTTCTCCGGGGCACGTCTGCTCTGGGGTACAGTCGGGGCGTTGACCTAAGGAACCCTAAATAAGTAACGCGGCCCCTTTTTTTTTTTCCAAAAGTTAACCTTCGATTTCCTGTCGAAAATATAAGGAACACCTGAGGCAAGCTGTGAAACACTTAAGGAACGCGGAGCCCCTTCCCAACGAAAAGGGTTCCTTCTTCAGGGCCCCGACTGTCCCTTTGGCCTCCCCTGACTGTCCCCTTCGGGGATCTGCTGACCCAGGTCCATCCAAACCCGTATGGGTCAGGCCTCGCAGGATCCGGCGAGATTCTGCAGGATCCTGCAACATCCTGCGCGCCAGCCAGAATCAATGCACCCCTACCCCAGCAGGATCCTGCAAGGTCTGGCGCTCTGACTGACCCCCGTTTGCGTTGACCCCCGTCTCTAGAGGCCTCCTTGATGGGGTCGGAGTAGATGGGTTCGGAGGATCACACCGCCTCGCCGATGCATCAGCGATGCATCGGCGATGCATCGGAGAGGCATCGGCGATGCATCGGCGACGCATCGGCGACGTCCGCGGCGAGAAAAATGGGCGCCACATCGAGCAGCATCGCCGACGCATCGCCGATGCGTCGACGATGCGGCGCAATCCTCCGACCCTGTCTGCCCCTACCCATCTAGGATCAGGTCTAGCATGTCCTCTCCAACAGGCGGATTTTGGACGACAGATAAAGCAGAAATCACACATGCTAAAACATAGCAGAACATAGACTCGGTAAGTCGTCCCCCGAGTACTTTTTGACTACTTTTGAACCTCCCCCCCTGTAGAGGGACGAGCCCGACTGAAACCTGGGAGCCCCAGAGCCTCTTGAGCCCCGACTCCCTCCCGAAGCGGCGGCCGCGGCGGCCGCGGCCGCACGCGGGGCAAGAACCCTGGCCGCTGAGGCGGGGCGCGCCGCCCGCCCGCACGCCCTCGTGCAGCACCCGCCCAGGTTCGAGTCCTCTCGCGCGCGCGGCCCGGGCAGCGCCCCGCGAGGGACGCGACCCGCGGCGCGGCACTGGAGTGGAGGCCAGCCCACAAGAAACCTTCCACAGGAAGCCCAACCCTAGGACCCCAGGGCGTCCACTGGCTCCTGGCGCGGGAGCGTCAGGCTCTCCGCAGCGAAGCAATCGAAGCCGAAGAAATCCAGGGCACCCTGGAGGCAGGCAGGGTGTTTCTTTGCATGGGTCTCCGCTGTAAGACGAAGCCAGGACGAAGACGAATCGAGAATCTCTGAGACTCGGCGGCCCTGGAGGACGTCTCGGGCGCCGCGGCCTTCTCAGAGCGTCCCGGAACGTTCCCTCGCCGTAGCCCCGTCCGAGGCACGCCTTCGCCGCCGCGGGGCGTCGTTGTCACTGCCGCCTTTTCTCGTCGTCGTCGTTGCCACCGGCATCGTCGTCGTCGCTGGAGGCTTCAAGGTCGAGATTTATGTTGGTCCCATTGTACTGTCGACTACATCCCAAAAGTAATTTCGAACACCCTTCAAGTACATCCTAACACGCTGGCGAAGTGCCGAGCGAGTATCGCTTCTCATGGCCCGACACGTGAAAACCGTCCGGTTGTGATACTTCCGGGTGCTCGGAGCTTTTTTCTGGTGATCAAGGCTATACATGAAAGAGACAAGAGGCAACTCCCAATTCGCCCCAAGAGGGTGGCCGCGCGCGGGGCCAGGAGGAGGCGCCGGGGCGCCGCTCATTCAGTCGCCTGACACATATAATTGTTGAATTCTTTCCCGCCCGGGCGAATTCTCTGCGACACTCATCCAATCGTTTCCACCAGCATGGTGCTTTCGTACCGCCGCTGCAAGATCGTCGGTCAACCTCCGTTTGGGTCATCAGTTGAGGTCTGCGGAGATGGTCGTCGCCGTCGGCCCTCGGCGGCCCGGGCAGCGGCCCGGGCGGAGCAGCGCAGAGGGCGTCGTCACCTCCGTCGCCTTCGGCCGTCCGCTATCGTCATCGCCGTCGCCGGCGTCGTCGTCGTGAAACTTGTCGCAAAGTTTGCGAAAAACGCAACGCAAATACACAACGTCAAGACACAACGCGGCGCGACGTAAAACACAACGTACATACACGACGTAAGAGCACAATGTCAATACACAACGTAAATACTCAACGTAATAACACTACGCATTGGCGCCGTGTGTATTGCGCTGCGTGTATGCGCGGGTGTTGTGTGTGTATGTTGCGTAGTGCTGTGTAGTTACGCTGTGCGTATGCATGGTGTTGTGTAGCGCTGCGTATACAAGCGTCGTGCTGTGTATTCACGCTGTGCGTATGCGCGGGTGTTGCGTGCGGGTAGCGTAGCGCTGTGTATTTATGTTGTGTATTTACGCTGTGTATTTACGCTGTGTATTCACGCTGTGTATTCACACTGTGTATTTATGCTGTGTATTTACGCTGTGTACTTACACTCTGTATTTACGCTGTGTATACGCGTGGTGTAGTGTATTTGCGTTGCGTATATGCGTGGTGTTGTCTTTACGTCGTGTATGCGTCGTGTTGTGTATTTACGCTGTGTAAATGCGTTGTGTATTCACGTTGTGTATATGCGTGGTGTTGCGTATTTACGTTGTGTCTGCGTGTTGTTGTGTATTTAAGTTGTGTATACGCGTGGTGTTGTGAATTTACATTGCGTGTATGCGTGGCGTTGCATATTTACGTCGCGCTTATGCGTGGTGTTGTGTGTTTGCGTTGTGTATATGCGTGGTGTTGTGTGTTTACGTTGTGTATATGCGTGGCGTTGTGTATTTACGTTGTGTATATGTGCGGTGTTGTGTCTTCACGTTGTGTATCTGCGAGGTGTCGTGGACTTGCGTTGCGTGTATGCGTGGTGTTGTGTATTTGCGTTGCGTGTATGCGTGGTGTTGTGTATTTACATTGTGTGTATGCGTGGTGGTGTGCATTTTCGCTGTGTGTATGCGTGGTGGTGTGTATGTACGCTGCGTATGTGCGTGGTGTTGTGTATTTGCGTTGAGTATATGCGTGGTGTTGCTATTTGCCTTGCGTATATGCGTGGTGTTGTGTATTTGCGTTGCGTATATGCGTGGTGTTGTGTATTTGCCTTGCGTATATGCGTGGTGTTGTGTATTTGCGTTGCGTATATGCGTGGTGTTGTGTATTTGCGTTGCGTATATGCGTGGTGTTGTGTATTTGCGTTGCGTATATGCGTGGTGTTGTGTATTTGCGTTGCGTATATGCGTGGCGCCTCCCCCTCCTCCTCCCCCTCCTCCTCCTCCACGGCTGTTTTTTTTGTTTCCCGCCCGCCCTGCGCGCCTCGCGCTCGACGCGCCCCGCCGGACTCATCCCCCTCCCCCGTGGCCGCTGGCGCTTCCGATTGGAAGTTTGCGTATCGACATATATCGCTGCTGCACGCTGCGCGCTCATGCTAAGCATCGTTTCGCACCGCGTGGCCGCGGCCGTCTCCTCCCTCCGTGTCCACTTGCAGCATACATGTATACAAATATGACCTGGTATAATATAATGTAAGGACATATGTGAACAATAGGTTGTAGGAGGAGGAGGAGGAGGTGGAGGAGGAGGAGGGGGGAGGAGGATGAGGAGGAGGAGGGGGGAGGAGGATGAGGAGGAGGAGGAGGAGGAGGAGGTGGAGGAGGAGGAGGAGGAGGAGGGGTCCGACCGCCGAGAGTCGGCGGGTGAGGGGCGCTCAGGCGGCCTCGGGCCCCGAGGACGGTGTGCAGCGAGCAGAGGAGCAGCGGTTGGGCCGTGCCGCCGAGGGAAGAAAGGGCGGACGGCGAGGCACGTCGGCATCGCCAAGGGGCCACCAGCACGCAGACAAACAGCAGGACAGCTGCGGACACGTCGCCGCCTCCGCCGCAGGCGGCCGCGGCGGGCCTCGTGGAGCCGCGCGCGAATGCCGCACGGCCTAGAGCGGGGCGATCCCTCCTCCTCCGCCTCCTCTTTCTCTTTCTCCTCCTCCTGCTCCCCCTCCTCCCCCCTCTCCACCTGCTCCTCCTCCCTCTGCCCCTCCTCCTCCTCCTCCTCCTCCTCCTCCTCCTCCTCCTCCTCCTCCTCGATGCTCTTCGGCGTGCCTCGCGCCCCGCTCTGGGCCTCCGTGGGGCCGCTCGGCAACCCGCGGCCAGGTTCGCCTCGAGACCCTGGCCGGGGCGCGGCACTGGCCTTGGGTCGGACATGCTCTCCTACGGGCGGAATTGTTGAGGAAACAACTAATCAACAAATATTCAAAGATAGCCAAAAACATACTAGACAAAATCGTCCCCAAATCGTCCCCATGCTATTCTTTGACTATTGTTGAGTATGCCTCCTGTAGAGGGACAGGCCCGACTTGACACTGGCCAGATATTCACGGGGGGCCGATGTCGGAGGGCGGGAGAGGGGCGGACTCTGAGATCCGGGCGCTGTAACTTTTTCACATCGGGCGTTTTTGCCGCGCGGTCTCGAGCCCGGGGGCCATCACCGATCGGCCCAGCCCGATGCACGCCGCAGAGAGATGGGGTCCAGGGCACCTATCGCTATCCTTCGCGATGTTGCATTTTGTCCGTGACGTCGGATTGAAGGGGGGGAGGGAAGGAGGAGGGGGCTGAGGATGAGGACGGGGGAAGGATATTTGATTTGATTCGGGCTCGGGCGCTGGGGACCCAGACCCCCGCTGTCACGACTTTCTCACAACGTCGACGTCCAGAGATCTCGATCCACTCCCCGGGGCCAGCTCTTCATCCTTAGCGTTTTTTGTTGACCTTCTCGGGGCCCGGCGAGGGCCCCCATATGTAGGCAGAAAATAACTCAAAACCGTTCGTCGTGATTTTTGTCTTGACTCCAATTCTGTTGTTCCCATCGTACTTAAGAACCACATGCCACATCTCAGAAATACTTTCGAGCACACAGGAAAATACCGTAACAATGTCGAACGAGTTTCGCCACCCAGGGCCCGACACATGAAAACCCTCCGGTTTCGGCACTTTCTTGGTGCTCAAAATTCGTTCTGGTGTTCCAGGCTGAAGTAGGTTGGAACATCATACGACTCCATAGGGGGTCTGGGGAGCGCGCCCCTGCTGCAGACGGCGGTTGCCGTGGAGCGGACTGGACAGGGAGCAAAAGGGCAATGGAGTGATTGTGCAGGGCGCAGCCGCTGTGGCATGGCCGGGGATGACGAGGAGGGGCAAGAGTCAGGAAGGGGCGGGAGAATGGTGCAGGGGGGGGGGGAAGATGGGGAGGAGGGAGGCGGGGCCGGGGAGGATATCGATACAGCCCGTGGAGTTCTGATCTGTCCTACAAGGCCCCCCCCTAACGTAGCAGATCCCTGACCAAATCTCACCCAGGCCCTGTCGACACTGCGCCAAAGCTAACCTGACCCATAAAAGCTTACGTGAACAACGGCTCGGCGACAACAGCAGTGTGTCACGCGCGCGCTGTAGCAAATGGACGACCATAATGGGGCGACACAGCAACATGCAATGCAACACAAAATTGCCAACTGTATCACTAATTCCTCTTCAGTTCCAATGAATCTGACCGGCGCTGAAGCGAGAGCAGCTTTCGCAATCATGGATGTGGCCAGCGCTGAGGCGAGAGCAACATTATCAATCATGGATGTGGCCGGCGCTGAAGCGAGAGCAACTTTCGCAGTCGTGGACGTGGCCGGCGCCGAGGCGAGGGCAGCTTCTGCAATCGTGGATGTTGCCTGCGCCGAGGCGGCAGCAGTATTTTTGCATCAGGCATGTGGCAGGCGCCACAGCGAGAACGACATGCTCAATGAAGGACGTCGCTGGCGCCGAGGCAACAACACCATGTTCAATCAGTCATGTGGCCTGTGCCAAGGCGAGAGCGACACGCTTAGTGAAGGATGTCGGAGGCGTCGGGGCGACTGGCGCCAAGACGAGAAAGACATTCTCAATGAATAACGTCGTCGGCGCCTAAGCGACAGCAGCTTTTTCGATCAGAGATGCGGCCCACGAATATGGGGAGGACAACGCGCTCAATGAAGGATGTCGCCGGCGCTGAGGCGACAACAAAATCTTCGATCAGAGATGTGGCCCACGCACGAGCCAGAGCATCATTCCGAGACCAGCGTGTCGCCAGAATGCAGGTGTCACGCCCATTCCGCGCGGGCCAGGCACGGTGTCACCGAGGTCCGGGTTACGTTAGGTGGGTAGTTCACGTCAGGGGGGGTCGGGGGCTGCACCACCTCTCGATGACTAAGCCACCGATCTGCTGAACTCTGAGGGGTCCGTAAACGAACCAAACGCATTGCAGGGCTGAGGAGGAGGGGAATTAGAGGGGGATGAGAAGCAGGGAGGACGCGGAGAAGGGGGGGCGGGGGATGGGGCTGAGGATGAGAAGGGGAACGGGGGGGCGACCGAGGGGAGGAGGACGAGAAGGAAGGAGGATGGCAGTGGTGGTGAGCCCTCTTGCAGCCTCTCGGGGCTGCCGCGGACCGAACGCACAGCGCAGAGAACCGAGATAATCCTTGCACATCTGGACGATCCTCCGGAACCAGACCGAGGACACGTAGGCGTACACGAGCGCCACGAAGAGGGATACCACCCAGCTCGCAGGTGATAACAGCATCATCCAAATACCCCTGCACGCCCTCGCTTCTGCAATCCTTCTTCCTGCCGCTCCCGACTTCCTCGTTCAACCCTTCTCCTCCTCCTCCTCCTCGTGGCACGCTCTCCTCCTCATTATCCTCCTCCTCCTCCTACTCCTCCTCCTCTCCTCCTCCTCCTCCTCCACCTCCTCCTCCTCCTCCTCCTCCGCAAACCCCCAACGTCGAGTTTTTTTGTCACAGTCTGGAGCCCCGGAGGCCTCGTCCCCTTTTCCCGCTTCCCAAGGCTGGCTCTTCACCTCGAGCAATTTTTTGACGGCCCCGAGGCACAGCTGGGTCCACCTCGAAATTCTTGTCAAAACGAGCCCCAGGAGAGCCAGTGGGGGACTTGTGGGCACAGTGGAGGCCAGTCCACAAGAGACCTTTCACAAGAAAACCAACCCTGAGAACCTAGGAAGTCCACGGATTTGTTTGGTAGGGGAACGTCACGCTTTCCATCGCAAAACCATCGAAACCCAAGAAACCCAGGGCACCCGGAGGCAAGCATGGTGTGTCTTGGCATGTCTCTCCTGTAGGCTCCCCCCGTCCACAAGTTGAGAGACAACGGAGGGCAGCACCGTGATGCAGGAGACGGAGAAGGAGGACGACGAGGAGCAGGAAGAGCAGGGGAAGCAGGAGGAAAAGGAGGAGGAGAAGAGGGAGGAGACGGAGGAGGAGGAGGAGGAGGAGGAGGAGGAGGAGGAGGAGGAGGAGGAGGAGGAGGAGGAGGAGGAGGAGGAGGAGGAGGAGGAGAGGAGGAGAGGAGGAGGAGGAGGAGGAGGAGGAGGAGGAGGAGGAGGAGGAGGAGGAGGAGGGAGGAGGAGGAGGAGGAGGAGAGGGAGGAGACGGAGGAGGAGGAGGAGTAGGAGGAGGAGGAGGAGGAGACAAAGGAGGGCAGACGAGGATGCATCAACGATGTGAGAGCTCCTTCGCGCTGCAGGAGGCGCTGACCTAACAAAAGAGACGAAGCGCCCCCCGGGCCTGCCATGCTGGCGCGAGCCCCGCCGGACAACAAACTGCCCCTGCGTCCTCAAACTGGAACGAATATATATATATATATATATATATATATATATATATCATTTCAGACGTGCTGCAGCGCATCTTCGCGCGGATTTCTACCAATCCAGAATCCCGAAACCGCGAGCGAAAAACGAAGTGGATTTCGAACGGGATCTGTGCGGTCTTCATTCCTGGCCAAAAGAAATCCGCACGAATTTCATTTCGAAATCCGGAACGACATTCTCCAGGACAATCCGGGCCCATCCCATTGTTTTCAGAACGACATCCGCTCGGCGCCACGAAATATAGAGACTTGCAGGACCGTGGAGATCAAACATGTGCCCCACGAGATCCCACATTTGCAAAAGGACCAACCTCTGACCGTGTAGCCCCCGCACACGTGCGCCGACTTCTGCGAACGAGAACAGCACAGCGCAAACTTTCAGCGAACGCTGTGGAACAGACGCCGACCTCCACCCGTGTAGATGCTGGAGGATTCCGAACTGCCATGACGCGTAAGGAAGTCCAGATCGGGAGCCCACTTTTGAGAACGGCCCGCCCTCGCTTCGTCTTGTTGTTGAAGCTTGTGCGATGAATCTTGGCGGCGAGATGGCGATCGCCACATTTTGAAAACGAAGCGACCCCCACAGCATTATAGCTGCTGAAGCTTTGAGTCACGCTGGCGCAACTCTGAAAAGAATGCCAAACTTGGAAACCATTCGCCTTCCGTCCGTGTAACTGCTGGAAGCATTGAATACGAATGTGTGCGGCGCGAAGCTGAGAACCATATTTTGAAAGCTGCCCACCTTCCATCCTTAGAGCTGCTCGATAATTTTTTCACACATGCAAGCGGCACTACAGGCAACACATATACATCAGAGTGTGGGGGCCGACAGGTCATTCATTGTCCCTGGGTTGTGGCTGAAGTGGGCTCCCGCAGTGCGGATTGTTGTTGTTGTTGTTGTTGTTGTTGTTGTTGTTGTTGTTGTTGTTGTCAATGTTGTTGCTTGTTATTGTTTGTTGTCGACGTCCCGCCCGCGACCCGGCCCGCGACCCACCCGCGATCCGCCCGCGACCCGCCCGCGGCCCACCCGCGACCCACCGCGCGACACACCCGCAACCCACCTGCGTCCAGCCCGCGCGTCCCACCCGTGACTCGCCCGCGACCCACCCGCGACCTGACCCCCGCGCCCGCCCCCGCACTCGTAGCCGCAACTGCGGGTGGCGGCGTACACGTCGCGAGAGCGGCCCGCCCTTTGACCGTGCAGCCGATGGACATTTTTCAGATCGTGCGTGGGGCTGAGGCGAGGACCGGCCGTCGTTTGAGAACCACTCGCCCGACATCCGTGCAGCTGCTGCAGTCTTCGACCACCACGGCACGCGCGGGCTGGGGCGAGGGGCGCCCGCCGCATGGGCAAGAGCGGCCCGCCCTCCGTCCTTGCCCGCCGCCCTGCCGCAGGAGGAGGAGGAGGAGGAAGAGGAGAAGGACGAGGAGGAGGAGGGGGACAGGAGGATGAGGAGGAGGAGGGGAGAGGAAGGAGGAGGAGGAGGAGGAGGAGGAGGAGGAGGAGGAGGAGGAGGAGGAGGAGGAGGAGGAGGAGGAAGGAGGAGGAGGAGGAGGAGGAGGAGGGGGAAGGAGGGAGGAGGAGGAGGAGGAGGGGAGGAGGAGGAGGAGGAGGAGGAGCAGGAGCAGGAGGAGGAGGATTCCCTGCATGTGTGCATGCGTTGAACCGTGTAAGTGCTCGTAAAAGGGGCCCAGCCCCCCCCGGTGTCACGGGTGCCCTTGTGCGCTCCACGCTTCCCCGTGCGACTTCTTCCGAAAGGCCCCTGGACCGTACCTCGGAATCCACTCTTCCACAAGGCTGGACCTAAACGTTGTTTTTCGTTTTGTTTTCGTTTCGCTCTACCTGTTTTCCTGTACCTCCCTTCCGAATCGAAAAATAAGACACAGCCGAAATCCAGCAACACAGCATTGAGGTCCAGCCCTGCTCTTCCAACAATGCCTGAGATGGTCCTAAGGTCCTTCCTGGAACCCTGGAACCGTCTTAGGGGTCACTTTGGCCATCTTGGGGTCCCGTGTCGTGGGGCCAGAAACCCGACATTACTGAATAACCTTTTCCATGTTGCATTGCACGATCTTCGCATGTTCGCGTGTGCGGAACGAGCGTCCAAGACAGCCCGTGAGGCCCCCATGAGAGCCCAAGAGGACCCCAATATGGCCCCAAGAGGGGAACACGAACGGCCATCTCTAGCCTTTTCCTAAAGCGTTGCCCCTGAATCCGCCAGCAGCTCCACAGAAGGCTCCCAGGAGGCACCCGTAAGAGGCTCCCAAGAGACCTCCCCGATGCTCCGAATAAGCTTCCAAGAAGCCAAGGGGTCTCCCAAGAGCTCCCGGGAGGCTTCTGAGAGGCCTCTGACGGCCTCTGATGACGAAGAAGCGGCCCCTTATGGGCCCCGGGAAGCCCTCCTCAGGCTGCCAGGAAACCCTCGTAAAGCCCTCCAGAGGCCCCTAAGATGCCCTCCTCCTCCCTCTCCTCATTTCACTCTTACCCACATGTTCCCCAATGGCTTCCACAATGGTTCGTGGAACATATCGTATTATACATACACACATACAGATGCGTTCTCATCAGAGTGAGGGGGCCGAATGGTCAATCACTGTCCCTTGTGTTGTTGTTGTTGTTAATGTTGTTGTTGTTGTTGTTGTTGTTGTTGTCGTCGTTGTTGTTGTTGTTGTTGTTGTTGTTGTTGTCGTCATCCCCCCCGCGACCTGGCTCGCGACCCACCTGCGACCCACCTGCGACCCACCCGCAACGCACCCGCGACCCACCCCGCGACCCACCCGCGACCCAACCCGCGACCCGCCCGCGATCCACCCCGCGACCCGCCCCCGACTCACCCACATTGCGTTAACGAAAAAAATCGGCGCCTTCGGCGGACTCGTGGTACAATCTGTGAAAGTGAAGCGCTGGCGGCGGGCTTCTTCAGAGCCTCGCAGACTACCGACGTCCCCTGCCGCCCCTCTCACTCGTATCCGCAACTGCGGGGTGCTACGTATATCTGTAAACGCAAACATTAGTATCGCTCATACCCAGTATGCACACACATGTATGTAAGTACGTCGATATACATATATACACATGGATGTAGATATACACATAGAAATGTACGAGAGCCACGTCTGAAATGCGCGCTTAGGTTCTAGCCATACCCCGCCCAAGCTCACAGCTCCACCGAAGAGGTTCATCACATGTGGCTCTAGCATGTGGCGAAGACGTACCAACAATGCGGATTGACCAGAGCGTTTCCGATACGCACGCGCGCGGATAATTACAATGCAGTGGTAGGGTTGCATTGGATGCAAGGGAAGCGCACTGTAAAGTAATGCTATGGCAATCGAATGTGAGGGCAAAGCAACGCAGAACATCGCAAGTCGACTCAAACGAAGCACATGCAAGGCAACGGAGAGCTACGCTCACCAGTGCAGTGTGGATCGCGAAGCAAGGCACGTGTACATGCAACGCGAAACAACTCAGCGCAATACAACACACGATAGTGCAAGAGACCGAACGAGCCCGAGGGACACGAGACCCCAGGGACAATGGGTTTTAAGAGGAGCCCGAACGGCGCTTGGAGGGAGAAGGCACGACAAACCCAAATGGCATCCAAGAAGACCCCAAGAGAGCTCCAAGAGAGGCTTGAAGGTGGGGCCAAGAGAGAACCCCAGAGAGCTCCAAGGATGCTCCAACATGAGAGTTCCAAAGGTCTATGGGAGGATTGTTGCACTCTGTTGGGGGGCCTCTAAGATATATTTGTTGGTGGGAACTCTTGGGGGGCTCTTGAGTCGTCTTAGGGCCTCTTGGGAAGATCCTGGAAGCCTCAAGGGGAAATCTCGGGGGCATGTTGGGCGCTGCACCCGCCACTACAGTGCCCCACGACCTCCCCTGGCACCCTCTTGGGATTCCCTTGGGCTTCGCTTGGGCCCACTTTGGAAGCCCTTTGGGCCGTCTTGAGGCTCTCTGGGGCCTCCTCCTCCTCCTCCTCCTCCTCCTCCTCCTCCTCCTCCTCCCCTTGAGCCGTCTCGGGGCCCCCTCGGGCACCTCTTGGGCCGTCGTGGGCGCTGTGAAGATCGAAGCAGCTACGGTGCCACACATGCGCGTGCTCCCAAGAGAGAAAGGGACGACGTGGACCTCCCGGGGCACGTCTCGGGGCCATCTAAGATGGTCCCAAGACGTCACAAGATGATCGTGTGGCGTCTTGGAGCGCTCTTGGGGGCCGCTCGGGGAGTCTTGAGGGCATCTTGGGCAGTCTGGCAGCCATCTTGGGCGCTCTTGGAGCGCTGTCGCGCTGCCTGGGACCCTCCAGAGCGCGCCTACATTCCGCCCGCGCCAGGCGCTAGAGTGACTGGAGAGGGGGGGGGACTCTGGAAAAAAAACAAATAATGTTGGGAATCCCCTTCTATCATTCGATAAAGGGGCCGCCTTCCATGTAGTAAAGTGGGGAGCAGGGCGAGGGAGGAAGGAGTGAATCACGAGATAGAGAGGAGGGAGGAGGCAGAACGACCCTAGGACCCCAGGTTGGAAGAGACAGGAGGAGAGAGGGACAGGCAACTGTGCACATACAGAGGTGCATCGATGCTGTTGGCCTATGGGCATCCTCCTCGCCCGCCTCCTGTGCCTCGACCTCCTCCAATTCCACTTCTTTCTTTGGCTGATGTCCTTCGCTTCCGTCTCCTCCTCTCGACTCCTGCGGCCACTTCCTCCTCCCACCTCCTCCTCCTCCTCCTCCTCCTCCTCCTCCTCCTCTGACCTCCTCCTTCTCTCCCTCCTCCCGTTTCTATTTCTTCCTCTTCCTCCTCCTCCTCCTCCTCCTCCTCCTCCTCCTCCTCCTCCTCCTCCATCACCCTCCTCCAGCTCTGCACCATCGGTGGGGCACCCTATGGGGCCACGAAGCGCGTGAGGGGGGTGCCGAACTAAGCCTGGTGTGGGCGGGGAGACGCACGCGGACCCTCCCGCCGTGATCCTCGGTGGAGCTCCCGCCACGGAGCGGGGGCGATGGGGCGAGCCGCCGCGGACGTGCGGCGGGCGGGGAGGCGCCCGCGGACCCTCCCACGGGGGCCTTCGGTGTGGCCGCGCAGCGCGCGAGGGGTGTGCCGAAGTGGGCATGGGGTGGGCGGGGGGGGCGCGTGCGGACCCTCCCACCGGGGCCTCCGGTGGAGCTCCCCACGGGGCCACAGCGCGCTCGAGCGGTGTGCCTTGAGAGGACATGCGCGGTGGGCAGGGCGACGCCCGCGGGCTCTCCCACTGGAGCCTGCGGTGGAGCTCCCTTGGGGGGCCACGAAGCGCTTGGGGGCTGTGCCGAAATGGACATGCGGTAGGCTGGGGGACGCATGCGGACCCTGCCACTGGGGCCTTTGGCGGAGATCCCTACGAGGCCGCGAGGGGAGTGAGGGCCGTAATGAACATGCGGAGGGCAGAGGCAAGGCTGGGAGGAGGGATGAGAGGGCAGGGAGTAAGGTGAGACAGCGAGGACCCAACGCCACAAGATGCTTGGGGAACACCGCATAAACTTTTTCGTCGGCGGCGAGGCAGAAAGGCTGCACCAGCGATAGAGCTAAACGGGGGCACCGCGCCCCCAGCGCCCTGGGAGGGGGTCCAACGCCGATTCAAGACATCCGCGCGGAGCGCCGATCGTGTTTGTTTACGTTGTGTTACTCCTTCGATGTTCCGTCTAGGCTCAGGGGGCTGGCGACGAGGGAACTGACGAGGTCAGGGGGAGGAGGAGGAGGAGATGGAGGAGGAGGAGGAGGAGGAGGAGGAGGAGGAGGAGGAGGAGGAGGAGGGGCAGGAGGAACAGAAGAAGGGGGAGCAATATGCTCGATCCTCGAAGTTTGATCCTGGAGGTCCAGGGGATCCCTGGGAAACTCTGAGAACATTTAGGCGTATGCCGCTTGTTGTTCCTCGATATCGTCGCCCTGCTGCTCTCGGAAGCGTTCAAAGAGTGGGGGGGCGTCCAGGAGCGGGAAACTCTGAGAACATGTAGGCGTATGCCGTTTGTTGTTCCTCGATATCGTCGCCCTGCTGCTCTCGGAAGCGTTCAAAGAGGGGGGGGGGGGCGTCCAGGAGCGGGGGCTCGCAGCGCATGGCCCGAGGCACGCCCGCGGCTCAGGTGGGCGACCAGGGGACACATGCGACAAGAACAACTCGGCTCAAGAGCGCTGAAACAAATCAGCCTGGCGAAAAACCCAACCATAGGCAATTGCCAATTCCGCAGATACGGGAATCGTCTTCGGTGGGGCTCCCAATGGGCCACGAAACGCTGTAGCTGGGTGGCGGAGACGCATGCGAGCATTGCCACTGGCACCTTCGATGGAGCTCCCCATGGGCCACGAAACGCTGTACTGGGTGGGGGAGACGCATGCGAACTTTGCCACTGGGGCCTTCGGTGGAGCTCCCTATGGGCCACGAAACGCTGTCCTGGGTGAGGGAGACGCATGCGAGCTTTGCCACATGAGCCTTCGGTGGAGCTCCCTACATGCCACGAAACGCTGTACTGGGTGGGGGAGACGCATGCGGACTTTACCACTAGGGCCTTCGGTGGAATTCCCCATGGGCCACGAAAAGGCTGTACTGGATGGGGGAGGCACATGCGAAGTTTGCCACTGTGGCCTTCGGTGAAGCTCCCCATTGGCCACGAAGCGCTGGGCTGGATAGGGGGGCTCGCATGCGAACTTTGCCACTGGGGCCTTCGCACGAAAACGCTGCAACTGGATGGGGGGGACGCATGCGAGCTTTGCCACTGGTCCCTTCGGTGGAGCTCCCTATAGGCCACGAAACGTTGTACCGTCGGGGCGCTGACCTAAGGAACCCTAACTAAGGAACGAGGCCCCTTTTTCCCAGAAGTTAAACTTCGATTTCCGATCGAAAACATAAGGAACACCTGAGGCAAGCTGTGAAACACTTAAGGAACGCGGAGCCCCTCCCCAACCAAAAGGGTTCCTTCTTCAAGGCCCCGGCTGTACTGGGTGGGGCAGACGCGTGCGAACCCTACCACTGGGGCTTTCGGTGGAGCTCCTTCTAAGCCACGAAGCACCGTACTGGATGAGGGAGACGTATGCGAACTCTTCCAATGGAGCCTTCGGTGCAGCTCCCTGTGGGGCCACGAAATGTTTCAGTGGTATACCGAAACGGGGATGCAAGGATGAAAGGAGGGAGGGGGGGCGAGGAGGAAGGTGACGCGGGGCGCTGTCTCTTCAAAACAGGGACCCAACAACACACCATGGGATGGTTGGGAATCAAGTGCGGTAAACAAAAAAACTTAACTGTGATGAAAAAGAAACTTGAGCCGACTCAAATGCGACAAACATACATTTGAGCCGAATGGTTTGTAACGCACTTGAGCCGGATCTGTTTCGTTTGCTTGATCGCATTCGAACCGAATTAAGAAATCACCCCCCTCTTGGACGCCCGCGATCCTACTCAGGCCCGCTTGCGCCGTGAAAGATCACGCCATACACTGTTTCACCATTTCTGGCCACCGGGGGGTTCGTGCAGGGCGCCCCGGCCGCCCCCAAAAGGGCTAGTAATGAAAAACCAGTCCCGGGGAAGGGGTCGAGACCTTTAGAGGTTCACATGGTGAAAAACCCACGACGTCGTGGTCTGGGTCGTCCTTGCTCGCCCACCTCTCTTGCCTCTCTTCGAGAAAGGGCAGCGCAGTGCAAGCCATGCGCGGGCCCCGTCCCATCCGCTTTACTAGCAGCAGCCAGCTCGGAGGCTCGATGTTGGTATTGCACTGTCCACCAATGATATAGCCTTGGCTATGAAGGGCCAGGCTCTCGGAGGAAAAAACAACGCACGAGAATCGTCAGCAGGAGACAGGAGCGTGCAGAGCAAGAGTGACTGAGAGATAAGGAGATAGGAAAAGAGAGAGAGAGAGAGAGAGAGAAAGAGGAAGAGGGAAACCCCCAACGAGAGTCAGCAAGAGGAGTCAGGAATACGGGAGGAAGCTGCTGGACATGTGCACCCGAGCGCATGGGCAAACCGACGAAACAAATCACATGAGCCATCGCGTGCATCATGGCAACATGTTCAGTCCGATTATTCTCCAATCAACGCTTGCACCGAAGGGGTCCTAACGGATACTGCCAAGACTAGATGATAATGTCGGCCGATTTCGGTTGGCGGCCGGGTTCCTGGATCCCTGGTTCCGTGTTCTTGGGATCTCGAATCCAAATTTCAGGCCAACTTCGTGGGGGACGGGGATGCCGGGTCCTCAGTTTTGGATCCTGCGTTCTCGGCTCTGAACATGCCCTGGTCCTCGAGTCCTTGGCTGCGGCCAAATACCTGGGCACGTCGCAACCACGGTCGTACATCATACAACAGCGGGTAGAGAGTGCAGAAAGCATACTGGATAGTGGGGAGCACACACACGCATACATACACATATATACAGAGAGAGAGAGAGAGAGAAAGATGGAGAGAGGGAAAGTCACAGAGAGAGGTACTATACATCGTACGTCGATATGTATTAATGGTTGAGAAACAAAGCAATTTGAAAAAGGGTATCGACGTAGAGAATAGGATAGAGAAACAGAGAGAGGGATTATTATCAGAATGAGGGGGCCGAACGGTCATTCACTGTCCCAGGGTGCGTGGCTGAAGTGGAATTCCGCGGTGCGGATTATTGTTGTTGTGTTTGTTCTTGTTGTTGTTGTTGTTGTGTTTGTTGTTTGGTATTTGTTGTTTGTTGTTGTTTGTTGTCGTCGTCCCACCCGCAACCCGCCCCGCGACCCACCCGCGACCCAACCCGCGACCCACCCCGCAACCCACCCGCGACCCACCCGCGACCCACCCGCGACCCACCCCGCGACCCACCCCGCGACCCACCCCCGCGACCCACCCCGCGACCCACCCCGCGACCCACCCCGCGACCCGCCCGCGGCCCCTGCGACCCACCCGCGACCCACCCGCGACCCACCCGCGACCCACCCCGCGACCCTTCGACCCAAACCACGTTCAAGGTACAAACCACCATTTTCGGTGCCTGCGGCGGTTTTTTTTTGCATTCCTTCCAGGTGGAGAACCCGCGACCCACCCCGTGACCAACTCGCGACCAACCCGCGACCCAAACCACGTTCAGGGTACAAACCACATTTTTCGGCGCCTGCGGCGGGCATCTTTTGCAGTCGTTTCAAGTGGAGAGCCCGCGGCCCACCCGCGACCACGTTCAGGGTACAAACCAAATTGTTCGGCGCCCGCGGCGGGCATCTTTTGCACTCGTTCCCGGTGGAGAGCCCGCGGCCCACCCGCGACCCAAACCACGGTCAGTGTACAAGCCATTTTTTGTTGACGCCTGCGGCGGGCTGCTTTTGCATCCCTTCCAGGTGGAGGTGGAGGTGGAGAGCCCGCGACCCACCCGCGACCCAAACCACGTTCACTGAACAAACCAATGCCGCGCAAACGCGGCGGCGGATTTTTGCATGCCGTCTGAGCCCGCAAGGACCCCTTCAAGCCCCGCGCATCCACACCAGCCCGTCCAGCAACTTTGCCCTGGCGAGTTGCCTTGATCAGAGAAGTCGGGGAGCAGAAAGTGGACAAAAAGATTGTGGTGCAGTTATCTTGGAAAAAGGGAGGGGAGGCAGGAGGAGTAAACAGGGGACGAGGAGGACGCGGAAGAAGAGAGGATGTAAGGATAATGTGGAGAAAGAAAAGGAGGAGGAGCAGGAGGACGAGGAGGGGGAGGAGGGGGAGGAGGGGGAGGAGGAGGACGAGGAGGGGGAGGAGGGGGAGGATGATGATGATGGACGACAATGGGAGGACGATGATGGAGGCCGATGAGGGGGAGGACGACAATGGGAGGACGATGATGAAAGGACGAGGGGGGGAGAGGGAGGACGAGGAAGAAGAGGAGGAGGAGGATGATGATGATGATGATGATGATGAGGAGGAGGAGGAGGAGGAGGAGGAGGAGGAGGAGGAGGAGGAGGAACGCCATCGACAGGGAAGGTGGGGGCCACGAGGTCCGCCGGCTCGACGACGCCCGCGTCGCCAGCGCCCGCCCCCTCACTCTTATCCGCGATTGCGGGGTGCTACTTACATACAACACAGTAAAGCGATATATAGTGGTATTGATAAAGAGAGACGGGGTCCATACAGACGTATATGTACATGTGGAGAGAGAGGGAGAGACAGAGAGAGAGGGAGAGGGAAAGAAATGAAGAGATAGAGAGACCAAGAGAAAGAGAGAGAGAGATAACGATAAATATACACACATACATCTAGAGAGAGAGAGAGAAAGGGAGAGAGGAAGAGCAAGAGAGAGAGAGAGAGAGAGAGATGGAGAGAGAGAGAGAGAGAGAGAGAGAGAGAAAGAAATTAGGCGAAAACCCCAACGCTGTGCAATTGTGGGTACCGCAGTTGTGGATATCGTCTTCCGTGGAGGTCCATATGAACGAAACGCTGTACTGGTGCGGGGAAACGCATGCGAACTGCGCCGCTGGGGCATTCGGTGGAGCTTTTCATTGAGCCACGAAGCGCTGTACTGGGTGGGGGGGGACGCATGCGAACTGCGCCACTGGGACATTCGGTGGTGCTCCTTATGGGGCCACGGAACGCTGCACAGAGTGGGGGAGACGCATGCGAACTGCGCCACTGGGACCTTTGGTGGAGCTCGCTATGGGGCCACGAAAGGCTGTACTGGGCGGGGGAGACGCATGCGAACTGTGCCATTGGGACCTTGGGTGGAGCTCCCTGTGGGGCCACGAAACATTGTACCGGCTGGGGGAAACGCATGCGAACTGCGCCACTGGGACCATCGGTGGAGCTCCCTATGGGGCCACGAAACGTTGGACTGGGTTGGGAAGACGTATGCGAACTGCGTTACTGGGAGCTTCGGTGGAAGTCCCTGTGGGGCCACGAAGCGCTGCAAGGGGTGGAGGAGACTGTACTGGATGGGGGAGACATGTGTGAACTGCGCCACTGGGACCTTCGGTGGAGCTCCCAATGGGGCCACGAAACGCTGTGTTGGGTGGAATGGGGGTTGGGGGCGCATGCGAACTGCACCACTGGGACCTTCGGCTGAAGTACCTATGGGGCCACGGAACGCTGCACAGAGTGGGGGAGACGCATGCGAACTGAACTGCGCCACTGGGACCTTTGGTGGAGCTCGCTATGGGGCCACGAAAGGCTGTACTGGGCGAGGGAGACGCATGCGAACTGTGCCATTCGGAACTTCGGTGGAGCTCCCTATGGAGCCAGGAAGCCCTGTGCTGGGTGGGGGAGACGCATGTGAACTGCGCCACTGGGACCTTCGGTGGAGCTCCCAATGGGGACACGAAGTGCTATACTGGGTGGGGGGGGGACGCATGCGAACTGCGCCACTGGGACCTTCGGTGGAGCTCCCTCTGGGGCCACGAAGCGCTGTGGTGGGCGTGGGAGACGCATGTGAACTGTGCCACTGGGACATTTGCTAGCGCTCCCTATGGGGCCACGAAGCGCTGCGCCACTGGGACCTTCGGTGGAGCTTCCCACCGGGACTTTTGGTGGAGCTCCCTCTGGGGCCCCGAAGCGATGTGCTGCTGGGTGGGGGAGACGCATGCGAGCTGCGGCACCCGGACCTTCGGTGGAGCTCCCTCTGAAACCACGAAGCGCTGTACTGGGTGGGAGAGACGCATGCGAACTGCGCCACTGGGACCTTCGGTGGAGCTCCATTATGCGGCCAAGAAGCGCTGTACAGGGCGCGGGAGGCGCATGCGAACTGCGCTACTGGGACTTTCGGTGGAGCTCCCTCTAGGGCCACGAAGCGCTGTACTGGGTGGGGGGGACACATGCGAACTGCGCCATTGGATCCTCCCTATGGGGCCACGAAACGTGTGAGAAGTGCGCCAACGTGAGGGGCGTGACGGGAGGAAGGAGGAGGGGGAGGAGGAAGGAATGAGGAACGCGGGACGATGTCTCTTCAAAATGAGGACCCAACACCACAGGATGATTGGGGAAAAAAACACAAGAGACAGAGACAGAGAGAGAGAGAGAGAGGGAGAGAGCGAGAGCGAGAGAGAGAGAGAAAGAGAGAGATAGAGAGATATGGATAGCGAGATAAGGAGAGAGAGAGAGAGAGAGAGGGATGTGTCAACGCGTATACGGTCATGTACATAAGTGTACACATGTGTACACACACGTGTGTATACATGTATATAGATATACACGTTTTGTTACACATATATGCACATATAGATATGCGTGCGTGTGTGTTTGATATATTCCCCCCCATGTGTGTATACACACTATACACATTGGCTGTCTAATTATATGGGAGAGAAGGGGTACCAAGGAGGGAGGGGAGCGATATACATGTACAAATACCACATGCATAGGTAATACAAGGGCAGGGAGAAAGAGAGAGAGAGAGAGAAAACAACAATAGAGAAGAAGGGATAGGCAGAACGAGACAGGGATAACGAGAGAGAGAGAGAGAGAGAATGGGAGAGAGAGAGAGAGAGAGAGAACAAAAGACAACAAAGAGACACACACACACATGGCAACATTTCGGGCCGCGTGACAGCCCCACCCTGGGGTGCGAACGCCCTGCAGGGCGTTCTCGCCATAGCGGGAGGCGCCACATCTGTGACAAGGGTGGTGGGTTTACTCCCCCCTGGCGCGGTCACAGGGACCCCGTTTGGAAAAGAGAACGGTCTGCGCTGATCAGGGCGCTAGGCGGCCCGTCTGCGCCCCTGTGACGAAAAAGGGGGCACTGGTTTTCAGCTCGCTTTACCATGCCCACCTCGGCGACCATGGGAATTGAAAGACGCCGCTGT